TATATATATTTTTATTCTATTCAAAAGCTTTGGGTCAATAATGCTATGTAAAATAATATCTAAAACTATCATTTAAAAGGATATAAAAATAAACAAACAAAATAAAATAAATACATTTTTATATAATCTAATAATAATAATCATAATAAACAGACTAACGGAAAAAAGCCCCATCGAAAAGATAAATACATATTTTAAATTAGGGAATATATAATATAAAGCAAAGTATTTTAAAGTATTATATATGAAAGTATTATAATATATAAAATCATGTGTGTATATATAATATGAAACATTAATATATAATATAAAACACTGTAATATAACAAAATAAACATTTATTATTTAAAATATACACATTGTAAAACTACTAAGTGTTCTTAAAAAGGCATATTATTTTTAAAAACATAGCTGGAATGTGTGTGTGTGATTGAAATGGCCATTATCTAACATGTGGCAGAAACGATAGTCAAAACATTGTTTATTGTTCATCTCTACAAATTAACCAAACGAGTAACTGAATATGAACAATATGTGAGATAGAAAACATGTGACGGAGTGTGTTGAGCAATCACTACATAAGCAGAAAGAGTCTGACTTCAAAGGTAGAATGCTATTGGCCAACCTCTGAGTGAGCAGCCTTGTTTCAAGGTCTTCATGCCAGTTCATGTAATGATAAAAACACAATATTTGTGAAATAACCGGCCTTGTCTACCTTGATCCAGAGCAATATTGTTTCTTCAATCTGACCTTGTACAAGAGGCCTTCAGCGGTATTGAAGCGCACACAATACTGGAACCCTCAAACATGGAAATTAATTCTGCAGTTCAAATACTTTGCATTAGCATGCTAGATCAGTTTTCTGTCCAATTCTCTATGGTGAAACCCTTTGATCTACAAAAACAGGTTTTCTTAATACCGTTTGAAAATGTAGCCATCTATCAGACATCTCAAAGCTCTATATTGATTTTACAAAGCAGGAAACTTATTCTGATTCATATTCTAATCACTTATTCTGATTTAGACCAAGTTTCTGCAAACCAGAACAATCCTTCAAACCAACAAAGTGTTCTCGGATTAGCACTGAAACAGCTTGAAGAGAGAGGTGTCAGTAAATATAATAAAGACAAAAGAATCACAATTAGAGACATATCCCGGTCAGAGAGGAGGTGTGAATGTGAGAAGGGGACAACCAAACATTAACAGGCCTGAAAATAAGACACAACAGACTGAATGAATGCTTAGAAGATGTGGCTTTAGCTCCACTGCGTTTCTAAACAGCAACACAGCCAATTTCATATTTTTGTCATGCAAATAAACTTTTAATAACTTTACAATACATTTAAGCCTTTATAACTATTTCTTTATGACTGTAATTAAATCTGACTGGAGGGCAACAAATTGCCAAGTTACTTTTTTCCAAATATCAATTTCAAAGTCTTGTAATGCAAAGACTTCAAAACGGTATCGATTTTAGTTTGGGAATGCGATTTGTGGGTGGTTACCAGGTTAAATCTTGTCAGAATGATCATATTTACGAGATAAGCATAAATGAGTACTGACTTTTCAAACTGGGGGCATGCCAATTACTCAATCATGGTGGAAATAAATTGGTACTGGCCATAATTATGTTTAAATTGTGACTGCTGATTGTATAATTTAGGATGTAAACATTCTGTACACCGTTGATAAGGAATAGCCTAAACTGGCTATAAAGCTTGCCAGAAAATACAATTAATTTAAGTTTTTTAAGACAACAGGCTAACGTCACTTTACTGTTCAAAAGTTTGGAGTCAGTAAGACTTTTTTTGTAAGAAATTAACACTTATTCAGCAAGGATGCATTAAATTGATCAAAATGACAGGAATAAAACACATTTTAAATTATATATTAAAAAAAACATTTTAAATTGTAAGAATACTTAACAATATTACTGTTTTACTGTACATTAGACAAAAAAGGCAGCCTTGGTGAGCATAAGAGACTTCTTTCAAAAACATTTAGAAAAAATTTAATTATTCCATATTTTATATTATGTTTTTATGGTGTAATTTTATTTTATAAATAAATACATTTATAAATACACATTCAAACATTTTATAGAATATTAAAGGAACACTCCACTATTTTTGAAAATAGGCTAATTTTCCAACTCCCCTAGAGTTAAACAGTTGAGTTTTACCGTTTTCGAATCCATTCAGCTGATCTCCGGGTCTGGCATAGCACTTTTAGCTGCAGCTTAGCATAGATAATTGAATCTGATTAGACCATTAGCATCTTGCTCAAAAATGACCAAAGAGATTCAATATTTTTCCTATTTAAAACTTGACTCTTCTGTAGTTACATTGTGACCGACCGAAAATGAAAAGTTGCGATTTTCTAGGCCGATATCTAGGCCGATATGGCTAGGAGCTATACTCTCATTCCGGCGTAATAATCAAGGAACTTTGCTGCTGTACCATGGGTGGTGCAGGAGCAATGATATTATAGTATAGTATAGAGCAGGGATCCTTAAATCTGGCCCACGAGATCCACTTTCCTGCAGAGTTTAGCTCTAACCCTAATCAAACACACCTGAGTTTGCTAATCAATGTCTTCAGGATCATTAGAAAATCACAGGTAGGGGAGTTTGATTAGGGTTGGAGCTAAACTCTGCAGTGCATTGGCCCTCCAGGGAAAGATTTGAGGAACCCTGGTATAGAGTACAGTTCCTAGCCATATCTGCCTAGAAAATCGCAACTTTTCATTTTCCGTCGGTACATGCTTAGTACATGATGTAACTACAGAAGAGTCAAGTTTTAAATAGGAAAAATATCGAAACTCTGGTCATTTTTGAGCAAGATGCTAATGGTCTAATCAAATTCAATGATCTATGCTAAGCTGCAGCTAAAAGTGCTATGCCAGACCCGGATGCCCACGAGATCCACTTTCCTGCAGAGTTTAGCTCTAACCCTAATCAAACACACCTGAGTTTGCTAATCAATGTCTTCAGGATCATTAGAAAATCACAGGTAGGGGAGTTTGATTAGGGTTGGAGCTAAACTCTGCAGTGCATTGGCCCTCCAGGGAAAGATTTGAGGAACCCTGGTATAGAGTACAGTTCCTAGCCATATCTGCCTAGAAAATCGCAACTTTTCATTTTCCGTCGGTACATGCTTAGTACATGATGTAACTACAGAAGAGTCAAGTTTTAAATAGGAAAAATATCGAAACTCTGGTCATTTTTGAGCAAGATGCTAATGGTCTAATCAAATTCAATGATCTATGCTAAGCTGCAGCTAAAAGTGCTATGCCAGACCCGGATATCGGCTGAATGGATTCAAAAACGGTAAAACTCAACTGTTTAACTCTAGGGGAGTTGGAAAATAAGCCTATTTTCAAAAATAGTGGAGTGTTTCTTTAAAGGTAGGGTAGGCCATTTTGGAAAGGATAATAATCGCAAGCTATATTTGAAAGCATAAGATCCCACCCTACCTGCAAATCACTCTGCAAAGCCACGCCTCCTTCAAAACACATGAACACGCACAGGCAGACCAGAGGCTAACCAGCGACACGATGAGAGACTGCGTTGGTGGAGGGTTGAATGCAATGCTGTCAGATTAACTCACGTCTCATTCACCGATGAGAAAGCATTACAGAACAAAGCACATATTACATTAATAACACCTCCCATTCTCGCTCGATCTGGAATAGCGTAATGGAATGCACTGATGTATCATGTCTGCGTAAACGGGGTACACAGAGGTATGCAAATATACATGTTGACAGGCAGGTAGGACAGCCTATCATAGTCCTCGGACCGAATAATCTGACTGGTCAAACATTTTATGGTCCTATGCCTTCCACAGATGATAAATACATTTAAACCACTTAACTTACTGATCGCTTTCGGGACGTGAAGTGACTTTCAACCAGCTTAACTAAAAAAGTTTTTGAACCAAATCACCTACCTTGTCTTTAATAAAGTATCTAAATAAATTTTTTTTAAATAATAATTACTTAATCCAGAAATACATTTTCATAGATAAAATGAAAGTCCTTTGAGTTCCTGGGCTCTAAAAACGGCCACCAAACTTTTGAACGGTAGTGAACATATCCTATTATTCACTGTGGTAGCATAATGATAAGATACAAATATAAAGTACCAAACGCACACTTATTGCACAAACTTGCTCTACATTGTGTCCAACTAGCACTAAAAAAAAGAAAGAAAAATGGTATGGTGCAAAATCCTATTTAAAAAATCATAAACAGGAACTTAGCAGGAGGAATGAAAGGTGCCAAACACACACAGCCCCTTGTAAACCCAGTGCTGACAGAAAGGAGATGGTGGTTGTGCCATGATGGGGCCAGTTTGACATTTAAATGACTTGTGTGCCCACAGCTGGAGAGAGCTGGCACAACACCAGAGCGGCTGCCGATTCACTCTGGTCATAAACACTCATCACTGACAGGAAATGAGGGAGAAAACAGGCATCCGCAGGTATGAGGAGAAGACGAGGACGGATGCAGCTGTGTTCGGGTCTGTGGACCGAATGACCGGTGGGAAAGCATCTGCCATGAAAGGTGAGATGGATCTATCGTTGAATTTAACTATAACTCTGAAAGTGTGAAATATCTGTCTACTCTAATCTCTCACACTCACACAAATGAGCATGGACACGGAGGCGCATCCATCAAGACCCCTGCTGACCTGGGAAAAAGGTTGCGAGTGTAAACATAATGACAATGATGTGAGCTCTTAAATTGATGTGCTTGGGGGAAAAAAAGAGCCTTTGACATTTAAACACAAGCTAATGAAGTTAGTCAGAGGCCCCACCATAATGGCTGGTACACGGCTGGCCTGCGGGTAAGATGTGAGAAATGAGTGCACTTCAAATGGCAAATGAGGAAACGTCAGTGAATGTCTCATTGGACAGGTGTTGTGTGTTAAAAGACAGAGCAGAAAAAAACAATGAAAAGAGAGAGAAATGGAAAGAGCAAGCAAAAAGCAAACTGACCTTTGGCTTCTGTTCCAGAAAGCAGACAGCAGGGCATGCAATAAAAGAGAGAGAGAAAGAGAGAGGGATTGTTGATTAGAAGCAGGTAGCCATATGGACTGTCATGCTTTGTACTGAAATAAAAACTCTGAGCTGGGAGCTAAGTGAGTTAGCCAGTTGTCCGTCTGCAGTGTGTAATTCAGTTAAAAGGCTATTAAAAAGCTCTAATATACCCCCATAGACAGTGCAGGGCGGATATATATAAAAGCTGGGACTAGACAAGTCACGCTGGTGCCGTTTTTCGAACTAAGGTTATGGAACAGCACAAAAGACGTGGCTTATATATAATGCCGAACAATTTCTAAGTAAAAATGTTGCAAGAATTCTCAGAAACAACTTGACCTAGGTGATATAAGGCAATTTCGTCTGGCATCTTCAGTGTGGCCTCTTGAACAAACACAATCCTTCACCTCTGTACCTGTGCTAAAACAGATGCTCAGAAAACTGTGCTAAGAAAATTACAATTAGTCTTTAGCATCTCTGGGGATGGTTTAAAAAAAAAAAGCAAGGATCAGGAACCCGCCAGCACTGCGTCATTAGCCTCTCTTTAATTCACGATTAGAGTGATAACCTGCAGGCCAAGCCGGACTGATTAACTCGTGCAGACCTGCACTTACTCAAACTGCCAACCTGGGAGCCCAAGCAATCAGAAGAAAGATAGAAGTCAGTGTAACATGCTACATGCAATCACAGGGTAAAATAAGAGCAATATTTTGTGCTTATTGACACTGTTTGACTATTGCACTTACATAAGTTTTTATTCAAAGAGAAAATTCAGTTAAAACTTTTCTGTTTTTCTGACAGAAATTCTGTCATTTACCTGTATGACTTACTTTCTTCAGTGGAACACAAAAGCAACTTCCACTGGACATTCAATGTCATTGTATAAACAAAATCTATGGGACTTTTTAGCCTGTTTTATCATCTGCCAAGTAAACATAGCTTAGAAAGTAATAGTACACTTCTCCACAAAACTCACATTATTGAAAATATCATGTCTGTCATGTCTGTACCTCAGAAAATTAGAAGAGACAATTCGACATGTTGCATGCAGTTATACAACAAAAAATCCTCTACAATATTTTGTAATTTACAAAAGTTTAAATATTGCACATACATTTCTCATTTACCTGTAAAAAATAACCAGGCATTGACCAGTATTGTTACTGTTATTAAAAATAGTTTTCATTAATTGAAATAAAGCTGCAGTAAAATAAAACTTAAATATTAGATGAAAAAGAAAAACAAAAATTTGAAATGTTGCCTTGGCAACTAACTGAAACAAAACAAATTTAAGATATTTACATTTAGTCAGTTAGCAGATGCTTTTATCCAAAGCGACTTACAAATGAGGACAGTGGAAGCAATCAAAATCAATAAAAGAGTAATGATATACAAGTGCTATAACAAGTCTCAATTAGCTTAACGCAGTACAAGGGTTTTTTAAATAATATAATAAATAAAAAGAAAACAGATAGAATAGAAAAAGAATAGAGCAAGCTAGTGTTAGAGATCTTTTTTGCTTTTGTTAATTGTATAATAAATGAAAAGAAAACAGATAGAATACAAAAAGATTAGAAAGCAAGTGTTAGTTTTTTTTTGTTTTTTACGAAAACAAGCAGCAAATGAATAGAGTGCAAGCCTAAAAGGGACAAGTGTTTTTTTGTTGTTGTTTTTAAGACGAAGTACTAAAATAAACAAAAAAATGAGGAAAAAAAAATAATAATAATAATAATAAAATAAAATAAAATAAAATGATTGAAAATGCAAAAGCACATAAAATGATTAAAACTAAGATTAAAATGGGGGGGGGGGGAAAAAGAAAAAAAAAACAAATC